TTCTAGTTTTCAACAAGGTCAGAATAGATAGAATAAAGCAATACGGATTAGTAGAAATTACACTTCACTTGTTTTAAATGTGTAACGGGTCATATAAAGTGTAATCATCAGTATGCACTTAGCAGAAAAAAAGCAACTTGCTATTTCAACTTCAGCACTGAGTGGCAAAAAAAACCTCATACGCCCATTTGTCCAATCAGTGCATTTATTAAGCACTGTAATCAGGCGATTCATTAAAAACATAGTCTCAAACAGGACCCAGGACAGTGATTGGTTGATAATACCTTTTATATTTCTTTTAATCTATAAGGCGCCTTCTTTTTCTTGTAATATATTTTTATCAATTTGTGGTTGTGGTTGAATACATTGGGTTGCTTATTCTGATGATTGTACCCTCGTGATGTATTATGTTCTCCTGTATCCTGTGTTTCCACAAACGGAAAGCCAGGTCTAGAAGCTTGATTAGATTGAGGTGTTCGCTTCTATGCCTCAAGTTGTGTTGCTTTTGATAAGGGCTATGTATGAGAGGATGTACATGTATACACACACATACACACACGAAGGGGGCTTCAACAAGTCTGTGGGAAAAAGTGAAAGGAAAAGGTAATGGAATTCCCCCCATAAACGTTTTGAAGCCCCCTGGTGTGTGTGTGTGTGTGTGTGTATTGCCTGGCTGCCTTTCCTTTTTATCCGATTAACCCCAACAAGAAAGTCAGTTGCCATCAGGTTACGTCCCGTGCATGGCAACCCCATGTGTCTCAGAGTAGAACTGGGCTTCATAGGGCTTTCAAGGAATGAATTTTTGGAATTTGGTCACAAGGCCTTTCTTCCCAGCTGTCTCTGGGTGGACTTGAACTTCCAATCTCTCTGTGAGCAACTATGTCTCTACTGCTGGCATCCCCCAGGGACTCCTTTGTGATTACCCCCCCTCCCCCGCCCCCTGGGAGCTGTCTGGTCCACTCTCACTCAGACGGTCTCGGTGTGTGAATGGAGAATTACTACAATAGGGTGTCAACAGCTCTGAGCTTTTGCAAGAAGGGCGACAGGGCTTTCTTATGGGAACACTCTACGTGGCTTTGAACTGCCGACCTGCTGAGTGTTTCCCTCATACCTTATGATACCATTAATAATGTTTCCCTCAAACCATTAACTTATGGCTTACAAATATTGGCATTTAATATTCCTGTACTAGTTAGAACACAGTAAACAGAAACTCCGGGATCAACTCTGTGGTTACGTGCAGGTCTTCACTGTATCTACTACTGTAAAAGATACGGTGGTCCTCCAGCGCCAACAAGGGTGGCCATGGATGATTTCACTCTTTTTTGTTATTGTTCTGTAAACGTATTTAGTAGCTTCAATCCCTCTCGATGCTCACATGGTCTCATCTTTGAGACCACGTCGGAGCGCCGCTGAGTGGGTTTCTCTGGTCGGTGGTGGCTTCCTTGTCTTGTGCGCTCACGAGCTGCTCAGGGCCCATGTGGAGCATGTCCGCTCCAGCACGGCCTCCACCTCTTCTTCCCGGAGCGCTGGCTCTTCAATGCTCCTGAAGCATTTAGGATTTCAACATGGGCACGAACTACTAGCTGTATTCGCTACTGCTGTGTTGGACATTATTTGTAAGCCTTTTTTGGGGACAAGAGCTAAGGATATATATACCAAGTTATTTCATAAAATCCTTTTAGTTCAAATTTAGAATGATAGGATTTCTACATAATTTCATCCAACTTGGATCTTTATCTTTCCACACATGGGGCAAATGGTGGCTTTCCACAAGACCAGTATGATTTCTTGTTTGATTGCATCCCATATCACCCACAATAGTGACTGAATATCAATACTAAATCACCATGAACATGATTAGACACTAAGATCAGTGTGAGATTTATGTGTGCAGGTCTTGGGTTTTATTTTTGTTCTTAGGGTACTTGTCATTGGAGAGATATGAGAGGGCTTCAGAAAGTTCATGGAAGAAAAGAATGAAAAAATAATGGAATTTTCCCCCCAGGAATGTTTTGAAACTCTCTCATATGATCACCCTAGCCTGTATTTTAAAATCTATGATTAATTGGAGGTTAATACATATATCATATCATTTCATAGTTCAATCATATTAAGCATAATTATAAAATTGCTACCAGTTTCCAAACATTCTCTTTCTTCCTGGTCTCCCTTTTATGCTCCGCCCCTGTCACCCCCACATTGTACACTGTATCCCCTGTCCATAGAAACCTTTCTACTACTTGCTGTTCCTAGCAATTTCATCAATCCTGAGTTTCATACACCAAAAAACACAGAAATAAACCCCCAGAAAAACATAACACAACTTTAAGAGGCCGACCTCCAATGACATACCACCTCTGATACAGCCTAAGATGAACAAACAAAAAACAAAACAAAAATACAGAAAATGCTAAAAAAACCAGATCAGGTTTGGCATGCTTCAGGGAGGAGGGAGCGATCAACTGACAAGGTGTTAACTGTTTAAGCCAGATTTATGCCTGTGATCTTTCATACTCCTCTCTCCAACGCACTGTTCAGGAAGCACTGCCCTCCTGTCCTTCAATTGCAGATAGAGGGAGTTTACCTGAGGCTCATTTCCTATGTAGTTCCCATGTTACTTGTGAGCCTTGCAACAAAATTGAAATTGATATTTTATTTTACTTTCAAGGGAAAGTACTTGTTTTATTTAGTTAGTTTAACTTTATAATTATGAGTGTGGTTTACGTGACTCCAAAGGCTAAACTACAAAACAAGTTCACACAGGGAAGTAGTTCCTTCAATTCTCTCCT